TGGACAGCAAAAGGAAAGTATGGAAAAGCGAAAAATTGTGTTGTGCTATAAAGAAATTCTAATGGAAATTACATGTGCGATGTATAAAGATAGCTATGTAAATGAAGTGCCTATCAAACATTTGATCTGATTAGAAATCCCATGATTTTATCGCAAATTTCATTTAGCAAGATACGCTGGACGAAGAAATATCGTTTTAATCTTTTAATAATCTTTTAATAAATTTATTATAAATTTATAATAAATTTAATCTTTTTATCGTTTAAATCAGCGCACGATAGGAAGGTTCATGAAATTTTGATACTGTAATTTCGTGATTGGCCGTTTGGGACACGCCAAACGAGAGAAATTGTCGACTTTGTGCATATTAAATGGGACATCTGCGAAGTTTATGAACTGTGAAATATTTTTTTTACAATTATTTACATAAATTGTTCGTCGATTTCCAGTTTTCCAGTAAAAAGAATTCCAGAATACATCGTAAATTTTCATTTAATTAATTTCAATTAACAAATCAATACATTTTTTACAGGGAAATTGAATTGACATTTGAGAGAGAATTTTTGCAGAGGGAAATATTTAAGTACACCGGAAAGAGTACGTATACTTTTAATTATCATTGTGCAAATAATATACGTGAATAGGTAATAATCGTAAAATACAAAAATACTGTACTTCCTTCCTTTTCGATTTATCACGCTTCATGTAAGTATACATACATGAAAATCTTATCTGTTGTTCAATATTGCTAATTCTTCTGCCTCAACCGAAGTGTGAAAACAATAAAAATTAAATCACATAATTATTTTTAAAAAATTCTATATACTGTTAATTTTTCTATTTTTATCCTATTATTTTTATCCTATTTTCTATACCGTTATTGTAAATTAAACCGAAGGATTAGATTTTCTATATTATTATACATTCGTTTCGTCTTTTTCATCGTTTAATTGTAATCGACCATTTCAAAAATTTGTAGCATTATAGGTCCCTTTGTGAAACTAAAGCCACGTATTTACACTCTTGCTCGTCACTGTGTATACAGTAAAGTACCAGTGAAACGTGAAAGGCAACGGTTATACACTCCAGGAATGTGGAATGTTTACAAATACCTACATACTATTGATTCTTGAACAACGTTCGTTCACCTACAAGGTACATTCGAAGTATTAATAGTCACGCGGTTATTACCAATTGGTCACAAAATGATTATCAGTAAGGACCGAAACTAAGTTGAAATATTTTTCGTTAAATCTTGAAACACCTTTAACAAAATTTTTGCGTCATTTGAATTTCTGATAATAAAAATCGAATACAACTTGAAGTAATTCGAAAATAACATGTAAAGATCTATTTTTCATTCAGGATATCATACAAATTGGATATTTATAATAAGAAGAATATGGGTGCATTTGACGTACAGACTTTTTAAAAAACACGTGACTTTTTTGTTTTCTTTTTCCGTGCAAATTTATAGCTAGAAGTTAATTATTTATTCAGCCACAATCATACGTATGATTTTCAATTTAAGTTTTACCTGTAAAAAATTGAAAAAAAAATTCTGTCGTTTTAATCGTAGTCTTTATGAATGTAATACATTACACCTCGTATGTTTAAAGTGTATTAATTGAATCACTTGTACAACTTCATTATATGACTGTTGTGTCGATATCTTTAATTCTTCGTTTAAGGACAAAGTATGCAAATTGTTTAGCGTTACATTTTTAATGTGTGACGTGTAATTTATCTTTAAAAAAGAAGAGAAATATGTAGACAGTAGTTTTGGTAGAAGATATTGCACTTTTTTCGTAAATTTGTAATTTAATATGATATTCAAAGAATCTTTAATACGTAAGCATATAATAATTAATATTATTTGCTGTTAAAATGTTTATTTTATGATACTTTCATATTGAAAAGGTATCTGTAACTGGTATACAAGAAGATACGAAAATTACTGCAAATAATAATGTCAAATAGATAATTACCATTTGTTGAGCAGTAAACTTAGCCATTCAGCGGTTTCGTCTTTATACAGAGCTTTTCTTCGACGTAGCCTGGCTAATTCATGTTGAAGTGATGACTGAAGAAAACGAGATCTTCTTGTTTTGAGTATCGGAACTGCCAACGTTAATACTATCAACAGCCATGCTAATGATAAACCTGCTGCACCTATTATCCATGCGATTCCAAAGGCAGCACTAAGATACAGCGCATCACGAATGGCTTCTGCGTCCTTCTGCAAGAAGAAATAATCATTCGTATTAACCTTTTCGTAACGCGGGTGACTAACGGTAAATTTTCAACCACGGCTGCAAAATTTCTTATTATCGCCGTACCGTTTTAAAATTCAATTTAATCAATCAACGTGGAAGCGCATAAAAAGGCTTCAACAGTATATTTGCGAGAAAATTTTCAAAATGCCATAGGCGCCAATAGTGGTGAAAGGGTTAAAAATAGAATATCAAAATGTATTTATACATTTTCATCTAAAAGGGGATTGCGTTTTATTAAAAATGTCACAAAAATTGCTATTACTCGTTTGAAAGAAATTGTGTCCTCTCTTAGGAGAACCTTTAGTCTATAGGTCAGAGAGGTAAAATTTTATAGGTCATTGGGTATTATACTGCCTACACTTTTATTTCTTATAAAATAAAGTAAGACACTTGATGAGTTTAGAAGATTGTACTTAGTAAGTATTATCTACTTAAATTTTCCTGAAATTTATCCCCTTTTGTGTAATTAAATATGATAAATATAAGATGGATAGAATAGAAGAGAAGAGAATAGATGGAAGGTGAGTATAGAAATTGAAAATAATGTACAAATTTCTCTGCAAAAGTGTGTTCGTTAATTTAAAGAAAATTTTTTATATTTCTTCATTATTCTTCACAGAATTTCATCGACTTCCGTAGCGTTGTAAAATGCGTGTATAAATATGCACTTGTTCTAACTATATCAAACCTACTCTTGGAAACGTATCGATTGCTAAATTTTTCTTTTTTAAGAAAACACGCTACAGTCTCTTTCGTGAAAAACCAAATTATACAGAAGTTGTATACAATAAAAGCCATTACTCCTTCATCTGGCTAGGATATAGGACATGATTCGTGTATACTCATGCAACATCGCGTGCCCAGTACATCGAAGAAGTTTCTCTGGCGTCACGGGGAACGTCATTAACCTCAGAATGATCAGATTAAGTTGCATGAATAAACGTAATTGATTCGAATTAAAAAGTTTCACGTGTTCTGCGTTTCTGCAAGTAGCACGGGTAAAACAGACCTGAAGTATTTTGTTCATTAACAAACGAACGAGAGTAGTTAGTGTAAACGTTTGTTTGTCTTTCTTTAAATTCAGATGTATTAAAGTGTAATAAAAGAAATTAAAAAATTAAATTTAACTAAAATTAAAATTAAAATGTAATGTATTGAGCTACGTACTTTTATCTGTAATAAAAGAAAATAAAACTATTTATCAAAAAAAGAATAGTATCTACCTATTTGTTGAAAATACTTTTCTATAAAACATTGTTGACCAAGAAAAATGATATAATATTTTCTTCGAAAATATCGAAGGCAATAAGGAGGAATTCTTTCTGAAGTTTGTCGATTTGTTGGAACATTCTAAATAACAGATAAAAATACTAAAGGAGGCCAGGGGTGTCAAAGAGGAGTCTGGTCGACTTTTTTTTAAATGGACTGGTATGCAAATTTTTACATTCCTTGATAAGTTTTGTTTAACGTAACGATATTTACTAAAAACACTTTTCCATATTTCTCGTAACGGAAGATTTATACCAGAAACATTTTTCGACACAAAAATTCGAAAACCAGGAGTGTTAATAAAAAAATCATTTCAATTACCATATTACAAATGCTCAAAATTTTGATAAAACCATATTTTTCTAAATAAATTTTTCTAAAATTATCCCAGTATTTCAAATACCTTGAAAAAGATGAAAATAATTTTTCATTAACAATTACAACCTTCGAATTTCCTTATTGAGAAATATTTTTATCTCCATGAAAAAATAATTTTTCATTAACAATTGCAGCCTTCGAATGTCCTTACTGAGAAATATTCTCATCTCAATACACTGTACAAACTACAGAAGGAAAACTTTCTTGATATTTTCAATGATTTCAGAGAGGAAAAAAGAAAAGAACACTCTGTGACACTTTATGTATAAGATGTGCTAAAAAAAAAAAAAATAATAATAATTTGAGCCAATTAACATGGACTGGTTTTGCTACAAACCATTCATGTGTAACCTACTTGCATATCATTCGATCTCGCTCGATAAATTTCACATTTCAAGACCATAAAGAAAAACGCATCGTTGTCCCTTGTCTCATATCGTGCATTTACGCAATAGCAATACTACCTGTCCAGTCAAGAACGTAACATTTCACTAATTAGAAAGTTGTTCGGTGCTAAGGGATCGAGTTTGATAGTAAAGTACCTGGTAGTTTGAGGTGAAACCTTAAGATATTCGGTATATTCACCATTTACGGCGCGACAAATGGTAAACTTGCGTTTCAATAATTTGCATGGCGCCGTGAGCAACGTTTGTACCACACGGTAATGAGACCGCGCAGTGTAAAACCACCATGAGAATAATATTCCAAATTTCTGAAAGTGTACCAGATCTCTGACAAACGTCGCGTTACATTGCTTTCTAATTTAATTTTGATTCCTCTCAGATGCACCTTGCCTTTGTACCATTTTAACCCTTGTAAATTTTTTAAGAACCGCCCGGATCGTCGTGATTTGAAGGGAAATTATTTTCCATATTCTTTTAGAAGCGAAATATCTTTTCCATATTTTTTTAGAAGCGAAATATCTTTTCCACATTTTCTTTTTTCGTTCTTAAGCCGTGTCAAGTGCTTTCTGCATAGGTGATCCCATAAGTTAAGAAAGCAAAAAATATTTTAATGAAAATCCAAGGAAATTCTATAGCGATGATATAATGTCCTTACCAAAAAAAAAAAAAAAATAAGAAAAATTTGTGGAATGAGAAAGCGCTTACGTTTTTTAAATCAAATTTAAAGGTTCGTTGGAAATATTGATCTAAATTATAAAATTCGACTCGAATTTATGGAATGGCCTGATACATAAGTAGATTTTAGACAAGTTTTGAAACAATTTTCTGTATGCAAATGACAAATGAGTTTAAAAAACGTGATTCCATGAAGGGTGACTCGTTTACAGTTAAAAAACTACAAAACAGTGCAAAGTCGTATTAATTGAATAAATTAATGATAGAATCTTTTTAAGTGCAAGATTTGTTTGTTTATAAAATGATTTCAATATTCTGGTTTTTCCTGGATTTTCGTTGAAACCTAACGAGATATTGCAATCGTTTTCTACAGTGTATTTAAAAATGACGAAAAATACTCGTTATTTCAAATATAAATTTCACTAAAAAGTGAAACAATTACCACGAAATTTAAATGAAGAGGTTTAAAGATCTTTTCATCGAAACTTCAATGCATTTTAACGAAGCTCGTTTCTCTCGTATATCTTTGCCTTGTCACTCGATAAAATTCATTTTTTCCCAATAAATTGCATTGTGTGAAGAATGAAGACTTTCTGCGATACTCGTACTTTTTCTTCGAATAATTCACGCCTTAATAAGGAGATCTATTCTTCTCCCTTTAGTGTCGACAATGTAAAGAATGCGATGATAAAAATCGCTCAACGAGTCTCACGACTTCCACACCGGAAAGCATTACATACTTGTACCTCCCATGTAGACAATAATTTCTCCTTTGCATCCATAAATTCGAGACCACATTATGCACATTCTACGAATCTCATTAATTGAACGCGTTCGATTTATGTTTGTATTTTAGCACAAAATACGAGAAACGCAAAACGACCACTCGTAAGAGGAATTCCTCCAATGAAATTGATGATAATTATTAATTTTTCTTTCTGTTTCCATAAAAAAAAAGAAAAACATCCATAATTAACGATAAGAACAGAAGCTTCTGTTTATCAGGAAAGTCCCAAAGTGTCCAGTTATGCAGTAACGATTTAATTACAATTAATACCAACAATCGGAATAAGAAAAGGTATTAAACAGTTTAATTTAAATATTTTAATAATCTCTATAATTTA